TTTTTTTTTTTTTTTTTTTTTTGGTACCAGGGATCAAACTTGGGACCTTGTACTTGTGAGGCAGGCGGCAGAACCACTGAGTTAAACCCCCGGTCCACCTGTGATGTATTTTGAGGGACGTGTGCTAGTATTTGCAATCTACTTTAAAATCCAACAGAAAAATACACTAGATTGGTGGTGACAAGAGGGATAGACAAATTGGGCATGGTGCTGCACACCTGTAATCCCAGCACTCAAGAGGCTGAGGCAGGAAGAGCTCAAGGCCAGCCTGGGCTACGTAGTGTGTCTCTGTCTCAAAAAAAATTAAAGAAAAGAGGGACAGACTTGTTTATGCCTGAATCTAGATGGTAGGATATGGATGTCCACTGTAAAATTCTTTTTTGTGTGTGTGATACTGGGGATTGAACTCAGGACCTTGCACTTTTGAGTCAGGCATGGCGCCACTGAGCTAAATCTCCAGCCCACTGTAAAATTCTTTACACTTTACTGTATGTTTGCCATTTTATGGGGAAGAAAACCACATTTATATAGTTGCAAAGTCAGTTTACAGGCATGGCATATGCCACTTCAGGTGCTCCCTGCCTGTCTGTGGCTCGGAACCTCTGTGGCTTGATGTTGACAGTGTGATTTTCAGCCCAGGCAGATACACAGGTGTCCAGTGTAGCTGTTCCCTCTCTTCTCTGTGTGTGCATTGCCCTGCATGTGCTTTCCTCTCTCCCTCTGTTCTGGAGGTCACTCTGTGGCTGACCTCTCAGAACACCCAAACAGGGTGGGTGCCTGTTTCAGGCCCACGCACAGGACCTGAGACTGCCACCTGCAGGTGGGTGGCCGTTGGAGTGCGGGGCTATGTGTGGCTTCTAACAAGTGGATGAGCCCTCTCTGGTTGTTGTACAGATTGCGAGTGTGTGGTGCCCTGGTGGACACTTGAGATCTCCATGGGTTGTTGAGTTGCTTTCGTGAGGTCTTTTATGATGGTGCATTCACAAAGTGATACCATATAGCACCAGAGATCCACCACAGAGACCCGGGTCATTAGCCCCAGGTTACTTGGTGTGCGCTGTAATCTGGAAGCTGAGAGTTGTGTTGTTCTGTTTGGGGGGATTGGGACAGGGTCTCACTGTGTGGCTTAGGCTGGCCTTGAACTCATGGTGATCCTCCTGCCTCAGCCTCCTGAGTGCTGGGATTACAGGTGTGCATCACCTTCCCCAGTTTGAACATTCTGTTTTGTAGAAAGCCTCTTTTATGGAGAATTTAAAGGTTCTGTTAAAAGGATAATTGAAAAAAAAATGGAATAGAAACCTAATTTTGTATGGTGGTGCATGCCTGTAATCCTGGCTACTTGCTAAGGCAGGATTGTAAATTTGACGCTTGCCTGGACCACATAGTGAGACCCTGTCCCAAGATTAAAAAATAAATGAAATGGGCCGGGGATGTAGCTCAGCAGTAGAGCACTTGCATAGGAGGCCCTACAAAACAAACAAACCCTCTAGTGTCCATACTGGCAGCAACAGCATCAGAGATCCTGACCTGTGGATCCTGGAGGTTGAAACAGTTCCCCTCCAGCAACCTCCTGTTTGTCAGAACTTAAAGGCACTGCTGCCACAGGTCATTGAGCAAGTACCTTCCCTAGATTTGGGCTGAGTTTGGGATTTGACCTGTACCTTGGAGGTATTCATGCCTTCCACATGGGTGGTACTCAGGAAACAAAGTTTTTTGCTGTTTTGACAAAATTTGACTGATTTATAAGAAAGAGGCCAGGCGTGGTAGTGCACGGCTGTAATCCCAGCACTTGGGAGACTGAGGTAAGAGGATCGCTTCCAGTTCAGGGCCAGCCTGGGCTACATAGTGAGTTCAAGGGCAGCCTGAACTACATAGCAGCGAGACCCTGTCTCAAAAAACAAACAAACAAACAAAAAAGAGAGAGAGAGAAAGGAAGAAAGAAAAAAAAAGCAACAACAGTGTACCTGGTGAATATAACTCAATTTGGGATAACCTTCACTTTCTTATCCCTGAGGCTGGGGTTTCTGCATGGAGTAATACTTATTCATGACCTACAAGCTGCATTTAAATGAAGATAAAAGATGTTGGCAAGCTTTGTCCCCTCCAGGCAGCCGGTGTCCTGTGGGCACAGCCAGAGTCTGCCTGGCAGTCCAGTTACAGTGTGCATAGCCTTTCTGTTGTTGCAAGTGCAGGTCAGGCTGTCTCTCTGACTCTGTCTTGGTAGTGGAGTGAGGCATCGCCCCTGCAGCGTGGCACACGAGTGCTCCAAGGCTGATTCTGGGACAAGTGCTACCTCACATCTGCAGTCTTGCTTGTTTGTAAAACCTGTCTGGAGCAGAGCTGCTGTCCAAGGGAGTTTTGAAAACAGCCTCATTCCCTGGGGTGGGAACCTTTCAATCAGATGGCATAGACAGCCTTCCCTTCCTTCATCCACAGCATTGTGGCACACCCAGCCTGAAGGGCTCTGCAGCCCAAGGAGGGAAGACCAGAGGGGTGTGGGCTGTTTTGCCAGTGGAAGGGTTGCTATGGCCCTGGAGGGGAAAAGGGGGTGTGGGTACTGCTCTTCAGTGCCTGTCCTCTGATTCTGTTTTTTTCCTTTTATTCCTGACAGATTGGTACACAGAATAGCCTGGAGCTTCTAGAAGATCCAAAAGCCGAGGTAGTTGATGAGATTGCTGCCAAACTTGGCCTAAGGAAGGTATGAGGTCGTCTTATCAGTTAGGACCTTTTGGGGGCCACCTGGGCCATGTGCTTGGGCTGTCGAGGCAGGCAGAGAGGCCAGGCTTCGTCTGGCACCAGCTCCTTAGCCACATGTGGTCAAGCACAGGCATGACCCGTACGGAGGGAGCCTCCCTTATGCTCCTGTGTGGCTTTGATGGTCTGTTGATGTAGTGTGAGATAGGACTACTTAATTAAGCATGAAATATGGTCCCAGCCCAGGACCCATCATTTTAAAAACTGTCAGCCACACCACTTCTTTTTTTTGGTACTGGGGATTGAACTCAGGACCTTGTGCTTTTGAGGCAGGCATGGTGCCACTGAGCTAAATCCCTGGCCCCAAAATAGATTTTCTTTCAGAGTCCGTTGATATGGTTTGTCTCAAACCCTACACTGATGGGTTTGTTTTTTTTATGGTCGGTTTTGTTGAGATAGGGTCTCTATATGTAGTTCAGGCTGGCCTTGAATTCACTGTAAAGCCTAGGCTGACCTTGAAATCCTCATGATCCTCCTGCCTCTGCCTCCAAACTGCTAGTATTACAGCCATTCGCTACCACACTTGGCTCTAGATTGATATTTATAGACAAACTGAACTGAATTTGAACTGATCTTAGAAGTCCAGTTTTTAGTAACTATGTAAGTTTTATCCTTCATTCCTAATTGAAAAATAGACTGGATTATTTTATTCTTCTACAGATAAGGGTGGCATGGGGAGAGAGGCTACAAATGTGATTTAAAGCCCAGGAATGTGCTAAGCAAAGATAATGCAATTTTATCCTATTAAGGAAAAAATATCTTAACAGGTTTTTTTGGTTTTTTTTTTTGGTACTGGGGATCGAGCTCAGGTCCTTACGCTTGTGAGGCAGGCGGCAGAACCACTGAGCAAAATCCCTGGCCCTCTTAACAGTTTTTAACAGGAAGTAAGCATCTCATCAGTTTGGTTTCGATTCTGAAGTTCTTTTTAATGAGAAGCTGGTCTAGTGGTTTGTTGTTTTTTTTTGTACTGGGGATCGAACTTAGGACCTTGCGCTTGGGAGGCAGGTGGCAGAACCACTGAGCTAAATCCCTGGCCCTCTGGTCTAGTGTTTTGACCTATGTGTATCACAACTTTCGGTTCATGGGAACATAACACAGAGTCTCAAAGTTATCTAAGTGCCTTGTATAAACTGCCCGTTCCTCACCTGGGCCTCACTTTGACTCTGCTCGATGTATGCCTAGTTACTCTTGCGGGCTGCTTAGCCTGACCCTCCAGCCTCACTTTCTTCTCTGCTGACCTCCTGGGCCTGTGTTGGCCTGGGCACCTGACTACAGGGCTAATCCTGCGTGTGCCCAGTGGTTTGAAGAGCAGAGTAGCAGGGTGTGCTGGAGGGGGCTGTGGCCAGCCATCGTCATTCCCAAGGATAGAGGTGGACAGCTGTGCCTGGCCTCTAGTGCTGCTCGACAGCCTCGGGAATTCTGACTTGAGCCAATGCAGGCCTGGGTCACAGCAGAGCAGGCGCCCTCCTGAGCTCTGACTGGCCCTTCAGGTGCTCTGGGCATGGGTCTTCAGGTCCTGTGACCTCAGACCTTTTTTCCCATCCCTGCACTGGGGCTCTGAGCCAGCGGAGTGAGGTCATCCTTTAAAAGCTTAAGTGCTTTTCCCCAGGGAATTTTTTAAAACCTTGTACAGATAGACCTAGCATTGGAAACTCCTTAGTGTTTGCTTCTTTTCTCTCTTCCTTTGTTATAAGCTCTCTTTCACCACACCTTGCTGGTCCCATTCACGCTGTCCCTGTACCCTGCACAGTTGTGCTGAGCAGAACCCTTTTTGATGGATCAATGGGCCCTGCATTTGCCCAGCCCAGTAGCACCCGAGGGAGGAGGCTAGTTTCTTCTGGAAGCTCTGGTGTGGCCTGGCAGCTTTGCTGAGGAGCTGCTCACGGGGCTCATAGGAAGGAAGGGCGCTCTGCCAGGACACTCTTCTCATGCTCCTTGGGCAGAAGCCAGGAATCAGCACCATCTGTTTTAGGGAGAGATTCAAAAGATGCTTTCCTTTTTCATTAAGGTTGGCTGGATATTCACAGATCTCATCTCAGAAGATACCCGAAAGGGCACAGTCCGATACAGTCGAAATAAGGTGAGGCTGAGACAGGAATACTGGCACGGTGCCATGTCTGGCACGAATCACACTGCCTTGTGGCTCAGGGCGCTGCAGAGCTCATGCAGACATCCAGACCAAATTATTTTCAAGATGGTCTTCTTGGTAAATTAGGGCTGGGTCTTGGTTCTGTCCATAGAGCAAAACCCCTTCATCTGTGCAGACCAGGGTGAGGGAGTCCCCAGTTCTTCTAGCCTTTCTGGTCTGGGTGGTATTAGAGGAGTTCACAATGGCAAGGAATTACATGTATTTGTTTCAACAGGTATCTGAGATGTAGCTCACCTTTTACTGTTTTCTAAAGAAGAAATAAAAGCCTATTTGATGTGATACCGTAAAATCTGATGTTCCGCCTGTCTCATCATAGGACACCTATTTCCTGAGTTCTGAAGAGTGCATCACTGCAGGAGACTTCCAAAACAAGCACCCCAACATCTGTCGACTCTCCCCTGATGGCCATTTCGGATCCAAGTTTGTTACTGCAGTGGCCACAGGTATAAACAGAGTCAGAAATAATGTAAATAGTTCTGCCCTGCTAATAGATTTTGTTCTTTACAGCAGCTTTTTATCTGAACTTAGTCATAATAGATTTTGTTAATGAAACTGTGGGAATAGATTTCTCCTTTTTTTTTTTTGGTTTTTTTTGGGGGGTACTGGGGATCAAACTCGGGACCTTGCACTTGCACAGCAGGCTCTGGAACCACTGAGCTAAATCCCTGGCCCGCTTTCTCCTTTTGTCTACAGTAAAAAGTTTGATCTTGCCAGCATCATCCTGATAACAAGGCTTCAGTGTGGCTCTCCTGTGGCCCAGTGCTTGCATCACAGATCCAAGCGAACTCTTGACTTTGGGTCCGACTCAGGGCTACTACTGTGCCCTTTTCCTGCAACCAGAGATGACAGCTGTCTGTGCGAGGAGAGGGATTTAGTGTTTCCATAACCCACACATTTTTGACATTATGAATAGGACTGTTAACTGGGCATGGTGGCGCATGCCTATAACCCTGAGGAGGCTGAAGCAGGAGGATTGCCTGGAGTTTAAGGCCAGCTTGAGCTATATAGAGAGTTCAAGGCCAGCCTAGCTACATAAGCAAGACCCTGTCTCAAGCCCCCACCCCTGCCCCCCCAAAAAGAACAGGGCTGTTGTTTCAAGAAACCATTTCTGTAAAACTCTTTTGAGAGTGTGTTCATATATTATGTATGTGCTAAAGATACAGTACTGTATGTAAGAGATTGTGGTCTATAAAACCATACCACCAAATCTTTTATAATATACCTGAGATACTGTACAGGAAAGATCCAGATGTATGACTGAAGAATTAAAAGGAAAGGAATTTGAAATTTGGAGAACCAACTCATAAATGCACTGTATGGTCAGATTTTGTATTTTTCTTTGTTTTTGGTTCTGGGATTGAACCCAGGGTCTTGCACTTGTTAGCGCAAGCTAGTGCTGTGCCACTAGCCCTATTCGATCAGATTTTAAAGTAAGCACTAACCTTAATCATGTGCAGCCCTAGCCCCTAAGCTTTACAGAGACAGCAATCAGTTTTCCAGTTTTCTTGGTACCCTTCTCCCAGTTCTGTGCAGTACTCCTGTAAGATGCCAGATTATAAGAAGCCTGTTTGTGAGGAACTGGATCTGACTTTCATTGCCATAGAACCCTTGATCACTAAGCTTTCTAGTGCCAGAATTTCTCAGCCTTGCTGTATGTTAGCAAGCTTGCAAGTCATTAAGATCCTTTTGAATTGACAGACACTTTTTTTTTTTTTTTGGTATGGGGATTGAACTCAGGTCCTTGCACTTGTCGGGCAGGTGGTGGAACCACTGAGCTAAATCCCTGGCCCACACACCTTTTAAATTTTTTTGGAGACAGAGTCTCCCTGAATTGCCCAAGCTGGCCTCAAACTTGTGATCCTCCTGGCTCAGCTTCCCAAATGCTAGGGATGTAGCTCAGTGCAAAAGCCCTGGGTTCAGTTCCCAGTACCAAAAAAACAAAAAACAACTGTTCTCACATATTTTCCTCTGAGAAAATCCTTTCCTCTGATAATGAAAGTCATACTGGCTATTTACACAAAGCTTTTTGTTTGTTTGTTTTTGTTTTTGTGTTTTGGGTACCCAGGACGGAATTCTGGACCTTGCGCTTGCAAGGCAGGCACAGGAACCACTGAGCTAAATCCCCAGCCCTGCGTACACAAAGCTTTGACAAGGAAGCAGAGTACAACCCGACTATCACATCCAGGGGCCCGGGAGGAGAGGCACACGGGAGAGCCGACTGTGTCTGTGTTGCAGTTGCTGGGTCTGATCAATGAGCACAGTGTAGGGAATAGGGCTGCTTGTGTGGATGCAGCCTGCTGGCCTCGCCGTTGAAGCTGTGGCTTCCTAAATGCTCCTGGCTCTCGCTCCGGCCCAGCCGAGGTGTGTGCCCCTCCTTCAGCTCACACACTTTTGTAGTCCTAGAAGAGTCAGTGGTGCCAGAACTGTGTGTATGTGTTCTGGCACAGTTCATAAAGGAGCATTATGACTCTGATTCTCCTAAACAGGGTTTTTTGCCTGCATCAAGTGGGTAGGAGATGTTGGAGATAACATGGGATACGGGTCACTTCTTGTGAGTGGCGTGTGTATGGCTATAGATAACGTGTTACGGACATCATAAATTCATAATAAGGGATTGTAGTCTCCCCTCCCCCTAGCAAGATGCCTGGCATATTTGGCTCCGCCTATGAAAGCTGGCAGTCCCCCATCATTGAGACAACCAGAAACATCTTCATAGACTTCCAGAACTGCTGTTCTGGGCTCCCATGGAAACCCAGCCCTTTTAATTACTGTCTCCACGGGGAAATTATCCCATGGGCCAAAAGAACTAGCACATTTCTAAAATTATAAATAGTTTCCAACTTGGGACTGCTACCTTCAATTACTGAGTCACACCTCCTGTTGAGAGTTAGATATCATATGGCTTCCTCATGAAGTCCCTGCCTTGGGAACTGTCACTTAGTAGAAAGTTCTGGGACTGGAGGCAGGGACTGACCTCATTTATATTCTATCTGTAGTTAGCATCCCTATATGTCTGGATGCTGGGTGGGTCTCTCAGTGCTTGGTCTTGTCATTGTCACACTTTCTCAAGGGGACACTGGCTGAAGAGTGGCTGTCCACAGTACTAACAGATCATTTTTTAAAAAAATTTTTTCACTGGGCCGGGGATTTAGCTCAGTGGTTTCACCACCTGCTGTGCAAGCACAAGGACCCAAGTTTGATCCCTGGTACCAGAAAAAAAAAAAAAAAATTTTTTTCAGACAAGGTCTCATTATGTAGTTTTGGTTGGGCTTGAACTGACTGTGTAGCCCAGGCTGGCCCTGAACTCATGGTGATCCTCTTGCCTCAGCCTCCTGAGTGCTAGGATTACAGGCATGTGCCACCATGCCTGGCTAACACACTAATAGATCCTGATCTGAGATTTTACTCACTGTAGCTGGGACATAGGTTTCCTAACTACAAGTGAAATTTGCCCTCTCCCCTTTGTTAAAGTCCTTTGGCCAGGACACAAGTGGGGACCCTAAATTGCTGCTAGAAAGTGCACTTGCTACCATCCCTTCCCCGAGTTCCTTTTTGGGCAGGAAAGCCTGAGCTTACATGTTTGTGATGCCTTCCAGGACCCAGAGCCTCTGCTGCTCAGGTTCCATAGGCTGAGCCCAGAAAGGCCCTCTGCCTATGGGTCTTCTGCTTCCGGAATTACACACAATCCCTCTGGGGGTCTGTGGAGGTTTGCTTGAGTCAACTGGAAGGAGTTTGTGGAAGGACAGCACATTACAGAGTCCCAAGTCATAACTTCATACTGATGCTGGTGTCTCTGGGACTTTGCCAGTCCTCATACCGAGCTCCTTACTGAGGTTCAGGTTTCAAAAGCAAGAAATGGATCTCAAATTCAACTGCAACTCAGTTTTCTGCCACTGCCTCTTTCCTGGTGCTGTAGTGCATCCCCTGGGCAGTTCTGGACAGGCTGCTCTGTCTGCACAGGGAGCAATCGCAAATGGGGATTGTGCTTCTTGCTGCTCCACGTGGGCCAGGGTTTTGCAGTTCATTTTGGCTAATTGCTTTTGGAGACTACCTGTCTGGAAGAATGCTGCTTTTTCAACAGTCTTCAATTTTACAAATGCTACATTTCATTTTTCTCTCGTCCTCAAAGGCCAGGCTTTTCTTTCTGTAACCATTGATCACACCTTAATGATAGATCTTAACATCATGTGGGTTTACAATGCACAGAGTGAGACATGAACAGATGTGTTCATGGTGGCTCTTCTGACTCCTCCAGCCTGTGAGCTCCAGCCTCCTCCTCACCTGTCAGCTCATGGTGCGATGTCCATGCTCTGGGCCACACTGCTGTGCTAATCCTGTGTGTGCTGCTGAGGTGTTAGTGGTCACTTGAATTAGGTACACAGAGAAAGTACTCAACACAGTGGATGGAACTTTTGGAGCCAGTTTGACTCAGTATTTTGCAGCCAACTGCAGTCTGCTTCCTGAGTGCAGAGCAGACAGCAGCCTGGTTTGCCCAGTTAGGGTTGGCTCACCCCCTGTTGGTCGCTTTTTCTGGCTTCTTGGTCATTAGGTGTGGTTTTTGTACATGTTTGAAAGCCAAACGGACTGACCTTATGATCCCAGATCAGTAAATTACTCTGTTTTTGTCAAACTAAAAGAGAGATATTGAGGGGTTTTTACTCTCTGGAGGTATAAAAATGGACCTTGGAGTTGTGGTAGTGTAACCTTGATTCTGGAGGCACATCTGTGGTGTATGTCTGCTCCACACCCAGCGCCATGGCCTTGCGTACCCTCCTGATTTAGGGGTGTGGCATAACTGGTGAGATTGCTCCTACTTGCTGCTGTTTATACTACCCAAGTCCCTAACTTGAAGGTTCTTATGGAGTGGAGCTTGGCGAGGAAGAGGGAAGTGCTGGAAGATGATGCACAAGCATGAGCACGGGGACTGTGAGGAGTCCCCACTGGGGCTCACGTGTTACCTTGGCTCTGTCACGGTGTCCACACCTCCTCGTGTGTGAGGTGTGCCCACACCTGGTGTGATCATGTAGGTTTCTGTGAGGTAGACCTGTCATGTGTGAGATATGACTGCCAGGACTGTTTTACTGAACATTGCTTGTGTCTTGTTCCTCTCACACTTGGTACCCCTCCTAGTCTCCAGGTGAATTTATCCTTGTCCACATCCTCTGTTTACTCAGGCACCAAAGCCTGTGGAACGCAGGGCTGTCTGTTCTTTACACCGAGGTGATGGTAAAATTGAAGATCCCGAATGCTTGATGGCTGCACCTGGTGTTGGAGAATCTGTGACGTCTGGATTCCCATCTCTGACATACATGTAATGGGTGACACCTGTGTCAGACACAGGTGACTGTGGAAGGGAGGGTCAGCAGTCAGATGCTTACATCCAAGGCCATGTGCTCCAGTCACCTGTCAGATTACCCAAGGCAGACTCTTGAGGGTTTGTTTCCTGTTAGTCAGAAGGTGGGTGACAGACATGGACCAGTTCTGAGTGTTCCTTGGTAGATTCTCTTTGAAGGTCTCTCTTTCTTGCAGGTGGTCCCGACAACCAGGTCCACTTTGAAGGGTACCAGGTGTCCAATCAGTGTATGGCGCTTGTCCGTGATGAATGTCTGCTGCCATGTAAGGATGCCCCTGAGCTTGGATACGCCAAGGAATCCAGCAGCGAGCAGTACGTGCCTGATGTGTTTTATAAGGTAAAAATATGGTGGTACGAAAAGAATTGAGTCCACAGAGAACAGTGAGAGCTTGTCTTGGACTCCTAATCTTGGTGGATTCTGGCTCTATGAGCTGCCTGCCTGCCATGGTGGTTCAGTCCCTGTGTGGCTCGATGCATCGGACTCCTTTCTAGGACTTGTTATTAGCTACTCAGACTTCTGTGGTGTTGGGTTCTACAACTAGGAGTGGAACTTCAGTGTTCTCACTTTGGGATACATGATACCAAATTTAGCCACTGTAATCAGGCAGTTTTTACTTTCTAAAGATGAGAAGCCTATGAGAGGTGTTTGGGACTGTTTTTGGTTTTGATTTTTTGAGACAGGGTTTCACTGTATGGTTCAGTCTGGCTTGAACTCACTATGTTACCCAAGCTGGTACCTCAAACTCATGGCAATCCTCCTTCCTCGGCCTCCTGAGTGCTGAGACTGCAGGTGTGGGCCACCACGCCTGGCCTGGTACTGCTTTAGAATTCTGCCCACACACAGCCATGCAGTTCTTTTTGGTTGTTCCTTCTCCTTTGGAAACTCATTGCACATACATTTGGCTGCTTGAAGCTGTCCCACAACTCACTATATTTGTTTTATGTCAGGTTTTTTTTCCTTTTTGTTTCATTTTGGATAATTTCTTTTTTGGGGGGGTACCAGGGATCAAACTCTGGTCCTTGCGCTTGTACAGCAGGCGGCGAAACCACTGAGCTAAATCCCTGGCCCCTTGGATAATTTCTGTTTTTCTTCAGAGTTATTCATCTTTATGTCTGCGTTGTCTGATCTGCTGTTGATGTAGACTGTCATCTTTCTCAGCTACTGTAGTTTTCGTTTATGTTTCCATGTTTCCACTTATTTCTCTGGACATAGAGGATACAGTTAGAATGACTATTCCATTGTATTTATCCACAAATTCTGTCACCTGATGTTGACTGATCTTTGTCAAGTACGCATTGTACACTCTGGATTGTCTTTTGGTCCATGTGTCCAATCTCTGGTGCTTATGTCTGTGTGTTCTGTGGACCTGTCTTTCCTCTTCACAAGGGTGATTATTGTGTGGTGTTCCTTGTATGTTAAGAAGCCAGAGATTCCAGGGCCCCTTCTGTCAGGTTGAATTTTCTTTTGCTCTGGTGGGGAAGTGTGGTGGTGGCAGTCCACATCCATCTGAGCAGCAAGTAAATGACTCAGCCTGATGTGTCTTTTAGCAAGACATAGCCAGTCTGCGTTGCTTTTCCCCATCTCTGGAATGGGGTCCTCCCAGGGTTTCCACTGAGAGGCTGTGGAGGTTTCTGTAAGGTGGGCAGCCCACAAAGACTTTGTCTTCTTGGCCTGAAAAGGCAGTCGGGGAGGTATGGTCTGGTCTTCAGAAGTTTTTGATTTGGCTCCTCCTTCATGGAGCTCAAGTAGGTGGGCTGCCTGCCTTGGGCACTTTAAAGTGTTGCTGAAATCTCATAGATAGGCTGGGTGTTTAAAATCCCTGGGTCTCCAGCCTTGTTCCTTTAGCCCATGTGGACCCAGCATCTGCTGGGCCCTCTTTTCATGCAGGTCCCTGCCCAAGGAAGGAGAGGGCTTTGGTCTCAGTATCACTGGATCCCCCGCCCCTCAGATAGGCTTCTTTCCTGGCCCCTTCCTCTGCAAAAGTCTTTTCACCTGACCCGTCAAGATCACAGGAGCTGGAGCTGTGCCCTGTTGCCTGTACCTTCACCATCAGAGTGAGCAGCGCCCTATGGGGAAACCAGGTGGACACTATGTCCCTTCCAGTGCCTTCCCCCAGTTTTTTGCCATTCAGAAGATCAGTTGTCTGAGCACTGCTTATGAGGAAAAGCCCTCTCCTTGTCAGTCTGGGTATCTCTCTGTCCTCACGTGTCTGTATCACAACTGTGACTATGGACCCTGTTGTGTTCCACTGGCCAGTTTTCCTCTGCCAGACAGCACTGTCCTGTCTTGATGGCTGGCTCTGTGGTTACTCTGCAGACCTTATTCTGCTGCCCCTCTTTGCTTCCCTGCAGCAGCCCAGCCATCCTTGGCCTATGTGAGTTTCAGAATCAGCCTTTCAGGTTGCACTAAAACAGATGGGTCTCCTTGGGGTTTCACTGGGCCTTTGTAGGGCTGTCCTCTCCCTTTGGACGTGGTGAAGGACTACACTTGTATTTTCCAGAAGGCTTTAGGGTTTCTCCATGAAAGTCTTGCCCCTTGTCCTTTGTTAAATTATTCCTAGGTACTTTGTGTGTGTGTGTGTGTGTGTGTGTGTGTGTGTGTGTGTGTGTGTGTGTTTGTTTGTGAGAGAGAGATTGATTGATTGATTCTGGGGATTGAACCTAGAGCCTGCACACTACCTATAACTCCTGTTATGCATACGTACATACATATATACGTACATAAATTTATTTATTTATTTTTTAACTTTGAGACAGTCTTGTTAAATTAGCCTCAAATTCAGGATTCTCCTGCCTCAGCCTCCCAGAGGTGGCACACACATCTGCCACCATGCCTGGCAGTATGAATTGTTTTTTTTTTTAATACCCTTTATCTCATTGTACATTTCTTACACTTAAGAATTGAACACCCCCCCAAAAAAAAGAATTGAACCCCTTTGTTATGAAATGTATGGTATTTCCATAGTCATCCTGTTGCTTTCATGGAGTGCTTATCTATTCTCTTAGTGAATGAAGCCAGGAAGCACTTCCTAAATTGTTTATAACTGTCTAGGATTTGACACACTGTTTATTGTGTTTCAGGAAAATATCAGTCTGGGGGCTGGGGATGTAGCTCAGTGGTTCCGCTGCCTGCCTCGAAAGCGCAAGGGCCCGAGTTTGATCTCTGGTACCAAAAAAAAATCAGTCTGAACAAAAAGGGCTATAAAAGCAAACAAATATTTAAGTAATCCTTTTAGTCTTCCTGTGGACTTTGCAGTTGAATTTAAAATATGCCTATAGGGGCTGGTGATTTAGCTCAGTGGTTCCAGTGCCTGCCTTGCAAGCACAAGGTCCCGAATTCAATCCCCGGTACCCCCCCCCCAATGCCTATAAACAAGGCTTGCACCAGTATTGGACCTGAGACTGTTGTTCATCATGGTGTCATCTGCTGGTCATAAAGTTGGAGACAATCGAGCAGTCCTGTAGAGGGGTTGTGAAATTACTGTGCATCTCACGACAGTCCTGGGTGATCACTGAAGGCCTGGTCAGCCAGGTACTTAGCTCACAGTATGAATTAACAGTGGCCCCTGGTATGCAGCCTCAGTTTATTTTGTGTATTGAAGATATGCAGGTGTGTATATGTGTGCACACATTTCCACTGGGATTCACGTGTGGAAGGGGCGTGGGAAGCCTGCACGTATAGGCGGGTGCTGTGTACAACTCTGCTCTCCATCCTGTGCAGCCAGAGAAGCAGGAAAGAGCCTCATGGGAGGAGGAGTGGTGGGCACAGAAAGCCCACGTGCTGAAGAAGGGCACGAAGGCCTGAGTGTGCTGTACCGTGTGTGCTCTCGAAGTGCGCTTGTCCATGGGGCCGGTGTGGAGGAAGAGCCTTCCCTGAGGAATTAGGGCTACTGCCAGTTATCTCCCAGGTGGAGGGTGGGACTTTCTGCTCCTGTCTTTGTATGCTGCTTTCCCTCTGTTGAGGCCCCTCTTTCCATTGGGAACTGGCTGTGCATTGTCATTATGGATACTTGGTCTCTGCAGAAAAATAGGAAGACATATTTGATGATAACCACCATTTCCATTTATCATAGTCTCTTTCATTTCTTTTCTGTTCTGTTCTGTTCTGTTCTGATCTGTTCTGCTGAGACAAGGTCTCACTCTGTAGTTCAGGCTGGCCTCAAACTTGTAGTGAACCTCCTGCCTCAGCCTCCCAAATGCTGGGATTACAGGCGTGTGCCACCATGACCAGCTTCTGTTCTTTTGAATTAAAAAAAGGAATTTTATGCAAAATGATAAACAGCCAAATCAGAATGTATTTAATTAGTTGTGTGTTGATGATTACTTCAGTTATTTCTGGTTATTGTTAGAAACTGGTCACATATTCTCAAAGCAGAATTGCTAGGCAAGAAGCTTCTGTTTTTTGTTTTTCGTTTCTTTTGTTTTTTCTTTTTTGAAGATTAAACCCAGGGACTTTGAGCTACTGAGCTATATACCCTCAGTTCTTTTATTTTTTTTATTTATTTTTGTTTTGTTTTGTTTTTTGAGACAGGGTCTCACTTTATAATTTAGGCTGGCAATGAACTCACTGTGTAGCCCAGGCTGGCCTCAAACTCACAGCAATCCTCCTGCCTCTGCATCTTCTGAGTGCTGGGTTTACAGGAGTGCGTCATCACACCCGGTTTATTTTTTTGAGACAGAATCTTACGAAGTTGTCCAGGCTTGCTTTGAACTTGCATTCCTCCTGGTTCAGCCTTCTGAGTGCTGGGATTACAGGTGTATCCCACTACTAGCTTAGTTTGTATATTAATAGATTTTTAAATTTTTTATTATTATTATTTTTTAGTATATTTGTACAGTTAATCTTAGCCAAAGGGCTGAAGAGTGCTTTTGGCGGGGGGGGGGGTATCCTGTAAAATAGATTCCAGCTCTAAGTGCATACATAGGTGTGTATGTTACATGGTGGTGACATAGCTGCTCTGGTGGCACATGTGAGCGGGTTTGATTTGGCAAACAGTGCTGGCAGGGAAGACACCCTCCTGGGGTTGCAGTGTATATTTGGATTAGGGTGCCGCCACTGTGGCGCAGTCTGCTGGTGGCAGTGTGGGGCTGACCAGGGCTTTCTGTGAGCTTGTCAGGCACAGACACATGTCCACATTCAGACCAGACTTGTACAGCCTGGCGTGCAGCATTCGGCTGGCTCTTGTGTTTTCCTTTAAGGATGATATAGTTAGATCCTTAGCCAGGCCAGTCAACCAACCACTTCATGTAACTGAAGGGAAAACTCAGTCTAATGTCCTCGATAAGCACTATGCCCTAAACCCTAAAATTTCAGGTGTATGTGTGTAACATGGCTAA